GGGGAAAATTAATAAATTTTTATAGCTAGTTATAACAAAAACAACAATTTTTGTTAAGTCCAACTTTCATCTATTACTATACCTACAAGTCTAAAACTCTATATTAATTTACTTTTTGAGCCTTCTAATGTGCATGGGACAGAGCTGTCATCATTACCCAATTATAATGCGGCTTTGAAGTCTGTGTTTTCATCTGCCTGTGCTAAAAGGACATGCTGTTGTTTCTAGTGCTGCTGATGTTTTGATAGTCCCTGATTTTGCAACATTTTCTGGTGTTTAAACTACAATATTTTAGTAATTAGTATCTGTGAACCTATAGATTCTCATTCTCAATAGCCTTCTTATATCTCCACAGGAAAAGAGGGACCAGATGTCAACCCAGTGCTCCAAGGTGTGAATGCAACATGCAGGCATGGAGTAGGGAGCCAGTGGAGAGGTCTGGGGGGCTGCCCCCAGTCCCAAATACTAAGTGAATGCCTGCCCCTCCCCCGAGAAGAATTTATTTCAAAGGACGGCACTGAATCCACAGCTCCGGGGGAGAGATGTATCTGATCGGAGCACACGGGAGCAGATGACGGGGGAGGAGGAGAGACTGGAGCACATACTGGCCCACCAGGCCTTGAGGACGATGACCCCAATTAGAACAGTCAGTAACAGAGAGGATCACATGGCCAGCCCCACTATGGGACATGATGGCCCTTACTGACCCATGGCCCTGCGGGGGACAACACCAGAGACACAGTGTGGGAATTGCACCCAATCTGATCCCACCACACTGAGGCAAAGCACTGGGGGAGTGCAGCAGAGCAGCAAGGGAATGGAGCAGCAAGGTCCTCAGTGAATGCTAAAGGTGGACTTTGGGGCCAGGCCGTGGTGCCCCAACAGACTGGACTGGAAAACACTCCTAAAGGCCAGCGATCCTTGTAACAAACTACAAGCTTTTCTTTCTTGGTGTGTTTTTATTTGTTCTTTGTCAGTGGTTTGTTGTTGTTGCTGTTTTGTTGTACATTGTTGCTTGGTTTTGCTCTGTCTTGTTTTTGTGCATGTTGTTGTCTCTGCAGGTCTGTCTGGATAGGATAGGCTG